AAAGAGTTCCTTAAAACTCACGAGTCGTCTTTCTCCAACCGTCCAAAAACAGCTGCTGTTGACTACCTTACATATGGCTCAGCAGATTTCTCCTTTGCTCCCTACGGACCGTACTGGAAGTTCATGAAGAAAATTTGCATGTCTGAACTTCTTAGCGGCCGAATGGTAGAGCAGTTTCTTCCAGTTAGACGCGAAGAGCTAAGGCGCTTTTTGCAGTTCCTGATGAAAAAAGTAAATGCAAGTGAAAAGGTGGATGTTGGAGGAGAGCTTGTAAGGCTAACAAATAATATTGTATCAAGAATGACAATGAATCAAACATGTTCCAATGATGAAGATGAAGCTGAAGAGGTGAGGAAGTTGGTTCAAGCAATAGCTGAGCTCTCAGGGCAGTTTAATTTGTCAGATTTTATCTGGTTCTGTAAGAATTTGGATTTGCAAGGGATGAATAAAAAGCTCAAGGAGGTTCGTGATAAGTTTGATGCAATGATGGATAAAATAATAAGGGAGCATGAAGAAGCGAGGAAGAGAAAGGAGGATGGAGGTGATGCGGTGAAAGATTTACTTGATATTTTAATTGATATATCAGAAGATGAAAGCTCAGAGATGAGATTGACTAGAGAAAACATAAAGGCATTCATCCTGGTAAAGTGTTCTAACATTCTCCTTTCTGTTTCTTACTCATAAAGCTACTTTCTAGTATTGAAAAACCCTGTTTTAGTAGTCTAGTTTTCTTCACTTCTTCCCTGAAAGATAAATCTGTTTCAAACTTGAAGCCTGAAAGTCTTTAGAAAGAATATAATAATCATTTGAGCAAAATTAATGGGCTAAATCTACACAAAGAACTTAGAAATTAGTCCTGGGATTCAATTATGAAAGATAACCATTCAAAATGCCGATGTTTTCACATTGACATCAAGGTTAGTTACGCCGGCAGCCAAACTGACAGTTAGGTAGATGTCATTTGAGCTCTTTATAGACTGTTCATTGCTCAATTTGTCAAATGTACGTCTGCAGAGCATTTAATATGTAAATTAACAGAAATGCCTAGCTAAGGTGTTTCCTTGAACCAGATTGACTTTTTTCAGGCTTGAATACCCGGGAAAACGTAAATCGGATGTGACTCAGAAATTAGACTAGGATTTACACGCTGCACACCAAATGCTTAAGTTTTTACTTGGTTTATGGTTGGGTAAAAGTAGTTTATTCTGAATCAGTATGAATAAATGAAAATAATTTCAAAGTAAAGTTCCACAAGCATTACTGATGCATGCTTTCCGAATTCCATAGGACATATTTGCAGCTGGAACCGACACATCTGCTGTTACCACAGAATGGGCGCTTGCTGAGCTTATCAATCATCCTAATATAATGGAGAAAGCAAGAGCAGAGATTGATATTGTTGTAGGAAGGAACAGAATAGTAGAAGAATCAGATATCACCTATCTCCCCTACCTTCGAGCTATAGTCAAGGAAACACTAAGGCTTCACCCCACTGGCCCCATGATTGTGAGGGAGTCAAGTGAACACTGTACTGTTGGAGATTATGACATTCCGGCAAAGACCAGACTCTTCGTTAATGTGTGGGCTATCGGTAGGGACCCTAATCACTGGGAGAATCCACTTGAATTTCGCCCAGAGAGGTTTGTCAGCATAGAGGAAACTGGAAAAAGTCAACTGGATGTAAGGGGACAGCATTTTCATCTTTTGCCATTTGGGAGTGGAAGAAGATCATGCCCTGGAACATCACTAGCATTGCAAGTTGTTCAGACAAGCCTTGCTGCTATGATTCAATGCTTTGATTGGAAGGTTAATGGAGCAGATGGTACTGTTGACATGAAAGAGGGACCTGGACTGACCCTTCCACGGGCTCATCCCTTAATCTGTATGCCTGTACCAAGGCTAAATCCATTTCCCTCGTTCTGATCTATCAAATGGAAATCGAAACAAATCCAAACTGTAGCGTGCTTCATTAGCACAGACGGGGAGAGATCGTACTAGAAAATGACAATACAAGTTGTTCTTCTGACAATGGTGATTTAGTATTCTATTTCTTAGTGAAAATAGTTTAAACTAGACAAGAGAGGATCATCTGATTAAAATCATTCTAGACTCAGCTCCTGCCATGCTTAACTTGGTATGCAATTGTATTGCACAATTGCAATGCCAGTATAACTAACCTGCCAGCACTAACTAGTCTGTAGTTTGTTCTTAAATACCACCGTATTGTCTGATCAAAATTAAAGAATTAAGCAACCCTTTTGTTAGACATGAGCAATTGAACGGTTCGATCTGTTCGGTTAATTCAGTTTATTATATCTAAAGATCAAATGTATCAAATATTTTTAAAAATCAATCAAATGTAGATGAGGATTGAATCAACAAAATATCAAATTGGTTCAATTTTGAATTCAAAGGATCAAAATTTTATCATTTTTTTTCAAACTACAATATTAAAATTTATAAACTTAATTCATAATTATAAAATATACAACATAATATTTATTTTTTCACTCACATAATTATATCTTTTTACATTAATCATCAAATTAACATTTAAAATTCAATATAATAAATATAATAAAATTAACATCCACAAAATAAAACCATGTAACACAAAACAATTAAGCATTGCATATCATCAACTTGAAACTCCTTCATGACTTGGCTCTTTATATTCACTTACATAGGCTACATAGCAATTGAAAGAATATACAAAATATAATTAGTATGAATTTTTTTAATAACAAAATAAAAAAAGATTAAAAATGAAAAATTATGTAAAAAGTTATAACATTTAATATTTATCTCAATTGCAATGTGAAGAATGCATTTCTAATCTTTCACTAATCAATTATCAAGTATAGAAATGAAATCCATCATCTCAATTTTTGACATCTCTAAAATACATAAACAAAATAAAAAATGTGTTAAGGTGGGGCTTGCTTAGAGAGTTTAGGTTTAAGTTTAGAAGAAAAAAAGAGTAAAGGATAGTGGGGCGCGTGGTTAAAAATGAAGAAGTGAAGGAAAGAATAGGATGGGGTACTAGCTAGTTGATAGTAATTTAGTAATGAAAATATATATTTTATATAAATATAAAAATAATATATATCATAAGATTTAAATTTGATGGACGCCTATAGTTTTTATACATTGTCAAGCCATCACAATGTGACATTTCATTAATAAAATAAAATTAAATTCAATAAGAACTTAAAACTAAATATTATTAATTTTTTTAAGAATATTTTTTTCTCTCCACCTTCCTCGCAATTGTTCTTTTCTTGTTCTTTTTCTTTTTCTTCCAACTCCATCATCTTCTCCTTCTTCTCTTATTCTTCTATTAAGATTAGATTTGATAAAATTATACAATTTCAAGAGCAAAAATAATTAAAAGTTTTTACTTTTTCTCTAAACTCTCTTTCATGAGTCCTTTCCTTCTGCACTATTATCATCTCTACTTGTTCCTAGATTTTGGTCTAAGGTGAGTATAGATATAGTATAACATACATAACTTATGTCCAATACTCAACTAAGCATATCAAATTTCAAATGGCCATAAGAACTAATCAAAATGAAATATGAAATTTCAAATGGCTATAGGAATTAATCAAAATGAAAATCTTACATGTCTCTTGTTTTAAGGAATCAAAATTGTTAAATCAATTCATGAGTTCTTCCGTTGTAAAACATATAAAAAAGTAATACCCTATTATAATAATATGAAAATAGCTAATTGAATTGATAACAAGAATATATATTGAAAACTCTCAACCTCAAATCTGACACACTAAATTGAAATTTTCACTCTCCATTTCAAATTTCAATCAATTACATGTAAAGTAAACTTGAACTTGAATTATTTTTTTTTTGTTTAAAGAGAACAAGAGAAGGGTTAGAGGGTTCGATTATTTAAAAAAAATAAGAGAGGTTAGAGGGAAGGGTGGATTAGAGCTTAGAGATATGGTTACTCTTCCTTTTTGCACTTTAAAACTAAAAGGACAAAAAAAAACAACCTTAAACCTAGAGGTGTGGGAGATTTGTAAAAAGTTTTGAGAGGAGGGTTAGATAGAAACATGGAGAAGTTTAGGGAGAGTGAAAAAAATTTTAATTTTTTACCTAAGGAGATGTTAAAAACATTTTAATATTTAATTTTAAATCCTTAACGAATTTTGGTTTTACCTTATTAATAAGGTAGTACGTTTTTGTGACTTGACAGTATATGATTTTTATACTATACACCATCATTGTATTAAATATAAACTGTATATGATATTATATATATAAATATATAATATTAATTTGATCTTTTAATCAATTCTGTCTAAAAATTTTAAAATCAAGAATTAATCAAATAAACTAATTAGATCAAATTTTTTTGAACCAATAAACTTAATGAACCAATTAGATTAAACCATTTTATTAAAATCGTATTTGATTTAATTGAGTTATTGATCTGGTCTAATTTTGCTCACTCTTATTTTTTGTGTAAGGGATCTGAAATTTAATTAGCAAAGGAAATTTAAACAACGCAAATAAAACTATAATCAGAATAATAAAATCGACAAAATCATATTAAGTATTAAATTTTTAGGTATGCAGGAGCCTAGAAAGTATGGGGTGGTTTACAAATTACTAATAGATAAAAAATCTCTACGTAATGCCTCCAATCCCACATTGTGGTTAAGTAATATCAAGATTTTGTGGTAACTCGCATAGAGCCAAGTTGGTAGGATAAAAAATCAGAGAAGCTTAAATAGTCGGTTGACCCTAAAAAAACCAAGTTCATTAAAGTGTATAATTATGTTTTAATTTGTTTACTTTAGAAGGTTAAAGCGAACAAAAGATAAGCATTGGTTGAGAAATCAACTTGTTGTGACGATTAATTAAACTAGACAGTGATTATCATCTCCACCCAACCTTTTTTTTTTTTTTTCAAGTTGTTTTGTTAGAGTGGGGTAAGCAAAAGCTTGAGCAATATATTTTAATATTACTTCATTTTCAAAATTTTACTCGATTAGGGAAGTGGGGAATAATAATCGGAACCTTATCCTCTCTGTTCCTTCCCGGCCGCTGCAATAATGGGATGGGGCTCTCTGAATACAGCAACACCAAAAGAAAAACCTATATTCTTTGACGTGGCAAGTGGATATTGGATGGCATGGCAAGGCACGTGGGAACCTTTTGCACGTGTCATTTCGCAGTGCTAAATCTCTCTCAGCCCATGGTTTCTCGATTGGTTCAAAACAAGGATTCGCGAGTTTGGATCACCCTCGGTTTCCTCATTATCAGTCCTTTTCTATCTTTTTGGGTCTTTGCCAATTCATTTTGTCAATCTTCTTTTCTTACTAATTTCTTACTCTGAATAGTTTACGAATCTTCAATTCCTTTATTCAACATTTCTTTGGTTTTGCAACTCTAGTGCTTCGTTGGAACCAATTGTTTCATGCTTTTTTTCTCCATTTTTACGGGAAAGTATGGTTAATCATCAGATCTAATTCTAATGTGCTTTTCTTCCCTAACTAATCAAATTTTTAACCAAATATCTAACCTTTTTATAGAGTTTTCCTTGCTGGGTTGTTTTAATTAACTCAGATTGTCAAATAACTTTTTTGGGTAATAAAACAATATCGTTGGATCCCTTTTGTTGAAAAAAATAAAACAGGAGATAACTCCCACTGATTTGAGCAATTTAGAAAAAAAAAAATCTGGGTTTTTCTCGAAAAATGGTTACTGTTAATCTGGGAATGCTTCATTACATTCTAGACCATGTATATGGTGCATTTATGCATAGAACAAAAATGAGCCCACCGTTTTTCTCAAGGGGGTGGGGTGGAACGAAGCTTGAGCTTTTGGAGAGATTGATAAGCCAGCTGTTCCCTGAAGTTGAAGGCCAAAACTGGCCTCCAAGCTTGATCCAACCAATTTGGAGAACAGTTTGGGAGACCAAAAGTGCTTGCTTGAGAGAAGGTGTGTTTAGGACCCCTTGTGATGAGCAGTTGCTTGGTGCATTGCCTCTTGAAAGTCACAATGCAAGGGTTGCTTTCCTTGTTCCAAAATTAGTGCCACCTCCAAAGATGGCATGTGTGGTTCACCTTGCAGGTATCATGGTATATCTTTTTAGCCTTTAGATAAATCATGCACTTTTAGTTTTCTTTGATTGATTAATTAGGTTGGTTTTGAAGATTTTTGTCATTGAAGTGGAATTGAACTGGTGGCACCTTGAATTTTAAGCCCTTGATATCGTTTTATTGGTTGATTGTTTTGTTGTCGGCTGGGCAGTACTTTAGTTTAATAGGTGATTGCATCTTTATAATTAGGACGTGAATTTAGTTTTTTATTTATGTTTGCTTATGTACCTGGATAATGCAAATTTATTGCTTTTTATTCTTGTTGTGATCTTAGAATGAATTATCTTCTACATTGTGGAAATCGACCATTTAGGCTTCTGCTTTATTAAGGATGTAAATTTGAATAGATGTTTGTATTATGTCTATTTACGGGGAGCAACAACCTTTGATTGGTAAATGAGAATGTCACCAGCTTCCTGCTGTTTTGTTAATAGGGTCTTGTGGTGGTTTGTGACCAGCTGTATATATTTTAAGCTTTCGCACACTTACTCTCTTTTGTTATAAAGATTTTAATGTTCTTTCTTTTTTTCCCCCCCTAAACTGTTTATGCTGAACTGCTGCTTAGTATAGGCTTAAATTTAACCAAGACAACACATCCTAGATTATACCTTAAACCAGTTTTCTTCTCTCTGACAAATTGATTAATAAATTATGCACTTTATAACAGTCATTTCCATGAAAAATGGGGAAAAATGAACTTTTCTGGATTCTCTTTTTTTATGGTTAAATCTGCATAAGGTTTGCCATATTGATTATATGTGGATACTCTTATCAGCCTATGAAAATTTCATGCACAGTCTTCTTTTAATTAATAATTATTTATGAAATACCTTGCAGCCATCACATGACAGGTTTACAAGAAATATGCCACATGGAAGAGGAAAGAAAACAAATAAACAAAAATAAATGTATTAAAAGGAAAGCCGAACCTACATGCTATGCCCAATGTTCAAAAATCTAATATCTTAAAGAAGAGAAGAAAATGCGTAAGCTGTGGATAGCAAATTTCCAAGCACAAGGTTGTCTAATGTTTACGTCAACACCCTGAAATGCTCTGTCTCTTTCATGAGTACTAGTTCATGTCAAACATGACCGTGCAGTCATCCAAACAAGATATTTCATTTGATTGCTTAATGATATTTTCCCAACTACTCAAGAATTTAATAATAGACATCGGAATAATCTGGTGTTGGTGAAACCTAAATGCATGCAATGTTGAACAAATTCATTTAGCACACCTTGCATTCAGTTCTTAGTAATTTCATGATCCTTTATCCATTGTTATATGTAGATAGTGACCATTTACTTAGAGAGAACAAAGTGCCTTTTGATGTTCAAAATCCATTCTAAGCACAGAAATTGCGATTTCTTTCTCTTTATCCCTGTAAGTAGGGTTTTTCTTTTCTCTTGCAAGAAACAGAGAGGTCTTATACTGTTGCACATTCTTCTCTTTCCTTTCTAATTTGTCCTGCACAATTTGTATCCTAGTAATGGTATTCTTTCTAATTTTAATTTCCTTTTTCCTTTTTTATGGTGTGGGGGCTTGTTTCCAAATCAGTTCTTCCTGTGAAAATGTTGTTTGAAATGAATTTCACCTGGCCTAGAGTTGATTAATTGGTGAAGTTTTGAGGTTTAACTTGTTTTTCTCTACGTTATAATTCGGGGAACTGCTTCCTACTCCCAAATAATAAAATATAGACATATTCACTAACTTTCATGATCCTGTGGTGCTGTTTCATGTACACGTGTAGAAAACCTTTGTTGTTCGCTATACTCTTATAAATTTGTTAGCCTTACTTCCCAGATTTTTCATGTTGGAATATTTCAGTTTTAGAAGTATATTTTAATCTTGTAACTATTGCTTCAAATTGAAAATCATTTGGGTTGTGAATTTTATGTTTAGTACTCATCTTTATTGATACAAAATTTAACCACCTTTGGCAGGCACAGGAGACCATACATTTGAACGGAGATTGCGTCTCGGTGGACCATTATTGAAGGAAAACATTGCAACTATGGTGCTTGAGAGGTTAGAGTCCTTTTTCTGTCATTGACTACTTTTAGAAGCTGAAATCAAAGCCTGGCTTCTATTACTTATGCATTTAGGATTTCTAATTGATATAACTATATTTGTAGTCCTTTCTATGGTCAAAGACGCCCTATGCTGCAGCGTGGTGCAAAACTCTTGTGTGTTAGTGACTTGCTGTTATTAGGGAGAGCAACTATTGAAGAGGCACGCAGCCTTTTACACTGGTTAGACACTGAGGCAGGGTTTGGCAAGATGGGTGTGTGTGGACTTAGCATGGGTAAGAAATATTGTTCTTGTGCTTCTTATAGTCTATTCAGATTTTTCTGGGTTTAACTTATTTTGCCTTTTTCTAAAAACTAAATTACTAGGTTTATGGTTCTGAAATATATGACCAACATTTGTCCTGAAACTGGATTGTTCAAACCCTATTTAGGACATACTCTTTTAAAGTTTGATGCTTTTATGGAACTAGGGGGAGTGCATGCTGCAATGGTTGGATCACTTCACCCCACACCTGTTGCAACCCTTCCTTTTCTCTCCCCACATTCTGCTGTTGTGGCATTCTGTGAGGGTATATTGAAGCATGGCACTGCATGGGAGGCACTGAGAGAGGATCTTGCAGCAAAAGAGGCTTCAATGACTCTTGAGGAGGTCAGAGAACGAATGCGAAATGTACTCTCTCTCACAGATGTCACACGCTTTCCAATTCCCAAAAACCCTAATGCCGTAATATTTGTTGCTGCAACTGTAAGTACTATATCTGTGTCTGACAAATGGATGTTACTTAAGAATATTGATAAGGGGCTTGTAGTTAGTTTCTAGTTGATTTTGCTAGGAACTAAATTTTAAAATTTTTTTATTTAATTTTCTTTCTTTTCCTTTGTTTGCATGTTATCCACTCTTATCATATCAAAGTGAAGCATCCTTGCAGATAACCTTTTTATCTTCTGCTTCATTGTTTCCTTTTCCCAAGCTGCTTGTAATTGTCATGATTTTAAGAGTATAACTGAGAGAGCTGATTAGTTGCTCTTCCTGTCAAATGTTATTACTGTTGAATTTGCAGCGATGAAGCCTATCATAGTGTTTGAATGGATGACATATGTGGCCATTTTGATTATTTCAATGTTTAGCAGGTCTGGTGGTTTATTGGCCCTATGGATTTCACATGGTGTCTTGTCACAGTCATTTAAACTAACATATACATGTCAATTTCTTAGGTCATGCCTGTTAACATATTGAAAACCTTGCATTTTCAAAATTTTAATTTTTATATTTTAAGCTTTTCTCTTTGCTACATGTTTGGTTACTCTTTATATTTAGCCCTTAGAAGTTTTCCATGAAAAAAAAAAGTTTTTAGAGGTCAAGCAGCAAAGCAAAAGTTTTTAATTGCAGTACACTTTTTATACATAAAAGATTAGATACTAAAGATTCAACGCTTAGTTTCTTTTGCATTTAAATTTCCAATTTGCAAACAACTTAGGTGGTGTGGTTGTCCTTGTCCCGGGCTCCATTTTGTTGATTGTTGGAATCATCCATGTTTTTCTTATTTTAAGGCCCACTAAGTTTTTTCCCCCTGGACGAAGGGGGAGGGGCCATGGGTAACTCCACATTGTAAACTTGCAGCTCACAGGGTAGTTTAACACATATATTTACCATTCTTAGGTTTTAGATTTTTTTTATAGAACTTCTATGGTGCTACCTAGATCCCGAAATTCTTTCTTCTCATGCTAATGCTATCTTTATAACGATCTGCTAGAGTCACTTCTTGCTATTTAGTTTCATCATCTATATCATCAATTGCAATTATATGTTTCAGGACGATGGCTACATACCAAAGCACTCGGTGCTGGAGCTTCAAAAGGCTTGGCCTGGTTCAGAAGTGAGATGGGTTACTGGTGGGCATGTCTCATCCTTTCTTCTCCACAATGGTGAGTTTCGTAAGGCAATTGTCGATGGGCTTCACAGATTAGAGTGGAAGGAATCTTCATTGTGACATTGCTCATTCATTCCCTGTGTACAAGTGATTGCATTTGTTTACTTGGCCCATTGTTTTCGTCACTCTTCACTTGTAAAATGGATCATAGGAACTAATATTTGACAGCACCCCTTTAAGGAAGAGAGAAGCGTGGGTGCTTGTGAATAATTTATTTCCCCCTTAGGTGTTTGTAAAGTTAACTTTACTAATTTTAGTGGAAATTTAGTATTTTTTTACTTCCTTGGAATAAATAAAGGAGGGTCAAATTGCTGATAAAAGTTTTATTCTATTCTCATTTTGAGAGTTAGGATTTTGTGCTCTCACAACTTGATTTTTGGAGCAGCCATGAGCTGAAAGGATTGCGCATCCAATGATTCTACCTTTATATTTGCTCTGGGAGATAAGAGAGATTTTCCAACCTTTCACATTCTTTATCTTAGCTCGTGATTAGGACTACTGGTTGGTTTCTTCTGGGTTCTCTTATCTTTTTCAGAAATTCTAGCACATATTGCAATGTAAGAGCAAGTAACTTCTGGAGTAAAACATAACTAAAACGGCGCACTAAGATGCTTACTAGGAAGCAGCACCTCATTGTGTGCTTTTTCTCCCTTCGTAGCCAAATCAATTTACAAGCAAATTAAATGTTAAACCATTTGCCACGATGTGCTTATCACAACTGTCCCATCACAACCACTAGTGCGCACTTCACTGCCAAATCTATTGCAGCAAAGCCCTCTAGTGTCTCCATCCTTACTAGCAGCTTTCAAGCGGAGCACCACACAAGCAGCGGTTGTGAAAATACGTGTAGTAATCGAACCTCTGCAACCGCCCTCCTACCGGGATTTGCCCACACAACCTATTATAGCTCACATTCATGAACTGCAAATCCACTCCAGTCAACCCTGGAGGAATACTTCCCATAATCTTGTTATGATTCAGATCCAGCCTTGCCAAACTCTTGGGAAACTCCACTTTAGATAGATCAAACTGGAACATATTCCTCGAAAGATCAATTTCCCATGTGGTCTTTTTGGATCCAAACAACATTGAAGCATCACCTTCAAGCATGTTCCTTGACAAGTCGATGGTGTTGAAGTCCATGTTGCCTAACGAGGCAGGAATTGTACCGGTAAGTTTATTATGGGACAAGAACAGATCTGGTGCTTTGCCCTGAAACATACCGAAAGACTCTGGTATTGAACCTGTAAACTTGTTTCTATCCAAATGCAAAGCCTCAAGATTTGGGAGTGAAGAGAGGGAGCTTGGAATATTGCCTGAGAGGTTATTAAATGAAAGGTCCAAGTAAGTCAAGTTCTTAAGTTGGCTAAGAAAATCTGGTACTGTACCAGACAGGTTTGTCCAGCTCAAGCGAAGAGTCTTGAGGTTCTTGAGCTTGGCAATGGAAGGCTGTATAGTACCATTGAGGTTAGGCAGGTGTCTGAATAGAAGGGTTTCAAGGTATGGAAGGTCGCCAACTTCAGATGGGATTTGGCCTGTGAGACGGTCATCGGAGAACATGGTGAGGGAAACGACTCGGTGGGTGGTGGGATCACATTCAAGACAATACCAGTCACAGCAATCTGTTTTTGGGTCCCATGAGGCCAAGAGGTAAGGGTTGTTTAAGGCTCTTTTGATCTGGAGCAAGACCTTTTTGTCATGAGGGTTGCAATGTTCTGACAGAGAAGGAGAACAGAAAGTGGAGAAGAGGAGGAAACAGAGAAAGAAAGGAAGGACATTCATACTTTTGGATATTTGCTTGATGAGGTATGCAGAGCTGAAAAAAATCTAATTTATAGAGTTGGGCAAGGTGGAGTAGTAGGTCAAACTTTCCATGTGTGGATAGGGCTCGGCTGTAGAAGCTTTAGACAGCTCCAATGCAGTTGAAAACTTGGTTCCAGTCAAAGCAAGAATAAGTTAGAGACATTATTTTCATTCCAAAATCTGGTTTAAAAAGGAACAAAATGTTGCTATTTGATCTGAATGAGTCTTCTATGGAGTAACTCATTACATTTATTTATGAAGTTAGAATTTGATTATGAATCTTCAATATGAAACCAAACTTGTTTGATGTACTTAAATGAAAGAGTATATGCAATTCAAGTGCCATCGTAAGGCAAATTTATGCCATTTCTTTTCATTGGTTTATTATTTGTCAATGGTAGAATATATATATATATATATTTATGTTGAGTAAGACTTGACGATGCATTAATCATTATCCAAAATCAACTCGCCGCTTTACATGGTGAGAAACAGAACGTGATCCGGTCAACAGTGATGGCTCCTTATTCTATATGAGCTGGATCCATATATTCAAGGTCGCTTTCGTACACAATTTGAAAGTCTCAATTACAGATCATCCTGTGGGTCCTCATTCCCCACTAACCCCTTCACCACATCGAGCTTTCCTCAGTTTCTTTTCCTTAGGCTTCTAGAATGACTAGAAAATCAAGACAGACCACGCGCCACGATAATCAGGAACTACAGAGAATATACTCCAATCCGCCTTTCTGCCTTCTTGATAAACTTCATTCTATTTTTAGCTGCAACATTGCGTTTGGGTAGCAGCTCGCACCATCGTAGGATGGCGAGTTCGGTAGAACAATTGTTGCTGGTAAACAAATTGGCCTGGAAGGAATCACCCTTGTGTTTTTTCTTTTTACGATTTTTGGCTAATTGTAAACTTCCTACATTTGCTTTAAGATTTATAATATACTTGATGCTTTATTGTCGCTAGCTCGCGACTATGGATGTTGTGAAATTATTGTGCAAGACACAAAAGAGTGTTGTCAAATGTCAGTTGCTATAATCTATCTTCCAAGAGCAATCGGGTTGCTTAGCTTGCTTGAGCCTCTGGCTCACAGAATTACATTTGCAGTTGTCTTTCTTTTGAGAGAGATATCAGAGAAAGTTTTCAGTGCCAGTGCTGTTTTCACTTTCAGCAGCTAATTCTGCTTGTTCACCCCTGATCCTAATGTAGAATATATTTGTGCAACAGTGCAGAAAAGTTTTGGAGTTGAATATATGGAAAAGCAATCATTTTTTTATATATTACTGGGAAGCTGCACCTTGATGGTCTTCTTCAGCGGTTCAACCTCTTATCCAAAACAAGCCACACTGACACACCCAAAGGACTTAAATACACAAACTCTATAAATTTTATTAGTATTGTATTGTATGTTTAGCACCTTGCCACAACGTGTGCTAATTCTACTCGCGGTATACTTGCGCTCTACCCTGGCAATTGCATCTTCTAGTAATGTAAATATTCCCCCCAAAACCAAGTCCTCCGATCCTCAGGCGATACCGTCATTTGCAACTTTGAAGCGGAGCACCACACAAGCACCGGTTGTGAAAATATGCAGAGTAATCGAAGCTCTGCAACTTCCCTCCGACCGGGATCTTCCCGCACAGCCTATTGTAACTCAAATTCAGAAACTGCAAATCGTCCACTGCAGTCAACCCCACAGGAATACTTCCTGTAATCTCGTTATGATTCAAATCCAGCCTTGCCAAACTCTTGGGAAACTCTACCTTTGAAAGATCAAACTGCAGCCTATTCCTCGAAAGGTCTACTTCCCCAGTCGTCTTATTCGATCCAAACAGCATTGAAGCATCACCTTCAAGCATGTTCCGAGACAAGTCAATGGCAGTGAAGTCCATGTTGTCTAAAGAGGCAGGTATTTTGCCAGAAAGTCGATTATGAGACAAGTAGAGTGATGGTACGTTGCCATGAAACATACCAAAAGAATATGGTATTGGCCCTGTAAGCTTGTTTCTGTCTAAGTGTAAGGCACCAAGATTTGGAAGCAAGGAAAGGGAGCTTGGAATAGAACCTGAAAGGTTATTAAACGAAAGGTCCAAGAAAGTCAAGTTCTTAAGTTGGCTAAGAAAGTCTGGTACTAAACCAGAGAGGTTTGTCCAGCTCAAACGTAGAAACTTGAGGTTCTTGAGTTTGGCAATGGAGGGCTGAATGGGACCGGTGAGGTTAGGCAATTTTCTGAATTCCAGGGTTTCGAGAAATGGGAGGTCGCCAACTTCGGCCGGTATTTGGCCAGAGAGTTCTTTATCAGAGAACATGGTGAGTGAGGTGATGCGATTGGTTTTAAGGTCGCATTCAACGCAATACCAGTTACAGCAATCTGTTTGCGGGTTCCACGAGGCCAAGAGGTAAGGGTTGTTCAACGATTGTTTGATCTTGAGGAGAACTTTCTTGTCATAAGGGTTGCAGAGTTCCGAAAGTGAAAGAGAGAGGAGGGTGGAGAAGAAGAGAAAACAGAGAAAGAATGGAATGATCTTCATGTTTTCGCATATATTGCTGGATTAGAAATACCGCACTCAAAAGAGTGCTATCTATAGGGTGAGGATGGTGGGTTTTTCTATGTGCTGATGGGACCGATGGAAGATTTAGGCAGAACAAGGGGATCGAAAACCTAGTGCCAATGGAAGCAAAGGGCAAAACGCAGACATTTTCTTCGAAGAAAAACTATTTGCTATTAGTATCACATAACCGTTTTATTTCCATGCATGTTTTCTTTCTTTTTTCTTTTTCCTTTTTAAGTAAAGTGAATTCGAGCTCACATATAAGTGCAAAATGTGAATAGTTTGTATCGAAGAAGCAAAAATATGTAAGTAGAAATAAGATCTCTCCAGTAGCAGAGTAAATAAACCTTATACGATTTTTAATATATAAATTTTCATGAAAACACAATTTGATTCCCTAAACTGTCGATGCGCTCAGTTGAAACTCTACTTAGAGCGAAGTGGAGTGGAGAGGGTTTAATACCAAAGCTTCAACAGCCACAGAGAAGGAGCAGCCTCTACATCCTCTTCAAACTACTCCAGCACTAAACTGGGCCGTTAATTTATTAAATGAAATCGGACTAGTCAAGTCAACAATGGGGGCTGCCTATGTTTTCATAAATCATATCCTTGTTTCATGCGTTTATTCAAAGGTCAGTTCATATAATCTTTGGGTCCTCATCCTCAACATTCCTCCAACACGTCAAGCTTCCCAAGTTCCTCACTGGCCAATGACATAAAATAGGAAGGAAACGACGCTGCCAACATTCCGATCGAGACAGCTTTAGATTAAGGGCACATGTGAAATATGTAAATCAAAATGCCTTGATATGTTGGCATGCAAAAGTGCTTTTAGTAGTTTTACAATTATAAAAAAAAAACAAATCTTAAAAGGTTGTTTAATTACAATAATCTTGTTATTAATCTGGTATAACTTCTATAAATTTTTTATGTTTTTTCTCATTATTTTTCACTTTTTGAATCTATACATTTACATTAAACAGTTAATCAAATTTGTTCTTAATTTACTCTTCAAATTATTTTTGACATACTTTAATAGAAAAACAAATTTATGAAAATTATTTTTAACTCGACTTGATTGAAAATTTGTAAAAATTTTACGTTAGTGCTTTTTGTCTTGAAGAGTTTCAAAATTTATTTTCAACTTTTTTGTTCACTAATTTGCTTATTTAATTACTTTTGACATGCTTTAAAGTGAAAATAAATATGAGAAACTTATCTTTAAGCTTGCCTTTATTAAAAGTTTAATTTGTTTTAAAATTTTTTTATAAATCCAAATCACCTTCTCTCGTGAATGTTTTCTCATTATTATTGAGCTAACATTTCTACCATACAAAAATTTAAATAAGTTTTTATTTTATTATTACGTTCAATCATGTTTCTATAATTTTATTTTAAATCAAATAAATTTTTATGATTAATAGTTAATTAATTTTAATTAATTAAAATTTTATTTGTTATTTTATAATTATGTGGTATTGACTTATCACTGAAGTGAAGAGTGAAAATTTTTAATGCATCATATCACATCAACATATCGGATTTTTAATTATTATAATATGTTAATATATTATGTCAACGTCATGTGATATAAAAAAATAATTGATATTTTAATTAATAATAATTACTCAATTATTAATCATAAGAATCTATCTATCTTAAAATAAAAATATAAAGATTTAGTTGAACGTATTAAAAAAATAAAAAAATTTTTAAATTTTTTTAAATAATTTAAAAACCTTTTTAAGTATTGCCTAAAAACTCTATATATACTTTGTTCTTTCATTAAAATTTATGTTTTTACCTTAAATGAAATACCGTAGATGTAAATTTCTTCTGAATTTTTCATGTTTGAAGCTAAATTATACACACTTTAAGAATTATACAAAATTTGACAAGTACTAAAATATTTCAAGCCACAACCTTATAGCATGATTTCTTTTTAGAGAGAGAGATTTATTATTAAAGCAAAGTCATTTTTTTTAACAAAATAATATTATTTTTTTAAAAAAATCAAAACACTTATATTGTATCCACATATTTTTGTTCAAAGAGTTAGATTTGAATTTTTTTAATATAAAAAAGTTAATAATAACAAATATACCTAGTATACACTAGTACAGGTTTACAATCACTTTCCTTTTCACAAAGTAATAATAGTTCATTATCATAGAATGATTTAAGGCATAAAAAAACACAATTATCTCATGCCCATAATTGCATTTCCTGAAGAAAAAAAAAATTAAGCCATCATTCTCTACTCATTAGAAGAACATTTTTTCCCCTTTATATACCTCCTAGTTACTTATCATGAAAGCTGCAACATTTATTGCAGTAATCCAAGGCCAAAGATGCTTCACAATGAAAGACATCTGTCTGCTCAAAACAACTTTAAACTCCCTATGTTCAGGATAAAAAGATATGCACATGCAATAGGGAATTTCTACACAAAAGCAAAAAAGATTACCCATTGTTTTATATATATTTAAATGTAATTTCTGTTGCATTTTTTTTTTGTGTGGTTATTCTCCTCTAGACAAGTCAGCGAATAATAGCACAATGAAGACCTTGCCCTGCTAAATATGATAAACAACTAAGAAATGCCCAGGTTGAAGTGACACCAAATTCCAAGTTCAAGATGCCAGTAGGAAAAAACTAATTAAAGATTGGAATAAAGATGGAGAATAATGGGCAAAAGCATCTTTGTATGTAAGGTCATATATATATATATATATACACTGAAGCCTTTCTGCTTTGCTTTTGCTTTTCTTTAAGCTCTCATGACACTGCTTTTAGCTCATTCAACTTCTTTTATCTGTTTTGCTAGCTTTAACTCACCCTTAGCTGTTCTTCAGAAAGAAGAAAACTGTCCACAATCAGAGGCCAACTGCAAAGTGATGCAACTCAATTAAAATGACGAGGATACCCTTGTCTTGCAAGACTTGGCAGCATCCCCGTTCTCCAGAGGGGAGGGTAGTTTAAGCATTTTTGCTTTTGCAGTTTGACAAATTTTAGCAAAGTTATGAAAGCTTAAAGAATCTAGGAAAGTGAGGATGCACTTATTCTCACCCTATATTGAAATGTCAAAAGGTTTGCTTTGTCCGCCCAAGTGGGGCATCAACTATCTTTTGCAGGTACATAGAATTCTAGTGTTCTCTATGCTCTCAGATTAAGTATGGATGCTCATGAATTGTAATGCCTTTCGTAGCTAGGACTTTCCTTCCCAGCAATTAATCTTCAATATGAGCCTTGTTCATTCTTTTTGCTTACCTTTTTCTTTGTAAAATAAAGATTCTTTTTCTTAACATTAAAGCAGAAGAAAAAGTGCAATGAGGGAGGTAGCGAGAGGTAATAGACTTACAATGTTAAACCCCAGGGATTGGAGAAAACTAATAGCATGACTTGTTTCTAGGAAATCGGCAAAAAACTCGAAACAGTACCTGAAACCCTTTTGAAACCTGAAGCTCCAAATCAACCTCAAAGGGTCCCAAGTGCCTCCAAAACCATGAGACCGCCATCTGTCTAGAGAGAAAAGATCTGGGTGTGCAGCTTTCTTGGGAAGATAAGAATCCATTGTTTGAATTCCACTATACAGGTCAATAAAGGAGAGACAATTATGATCAGTTCCAATTAGAGAAGAAGTTTTTTCTTAAATTCCGAGGTGAGCTATAGAACTTTAGAATCCATATTTTCATGTAGCATTGATAACTGTCTTCCTGTCCTTAAAGTGAAAATTCTCTTCTTCTATTTGTTCGTTTTTTTTTTTTTGGGTGCTAATCTTTCAGCTTCGGTAATTAAAGCTACAATAGAAGTATACTGCTAGAAAGCAATCACTATACTTCATTTGGCAGCTTACAGGGCTCCCAAGTCCAATAGAGATAGAAAGATCAAGGAAACATAAAAGTGGCTTCAGAACCTAACACTTAGAGCTCCTTGAGCTTTTAAGCAGCAAAGAATTTCCGTAGGCAAAAACCAGCACAAGAGGTGACTCAAAGTCCTGCACCAATGAATCCAGCTGCCGCTGCTAACCAGAAAGAAGAGTTCAAATTGAAGGACACAAAGCCCCAGTTAGGAGAACGATGGCCTCATGGAGGAATGCGCGGCGGTGGTGGTTGGATTAGCAGTGAAAGAGCAACAAGTACTTATGATCTTGTTGAACAGATGTTTTATCTCTATGTCAGGGTTGTTAAAGCCAAAGATCTGCCCACTAATCCTGTTACCGGAAACATTGATCCTTATGTCGAAGTGAAGCTGGGGAATTATAAAGGAAAAACACAACATTTTTGAGAAGAAAACAACCGGAATGGAACCAAGTCTTTGCATTCTCAAAGGAGAAGTTACAGTCTTCAATTCTAGAGGTATTTGTCAGGGATAGGGAGATGGTCGGCAGAGATGATTATGTAGGAAGGGTGATCTTCGAACATGAACGAAGTGCCCACACGGGTTCCACCTGATAGCCCTTTAGCACCACAATGGTATAGATTAGAAGACCGTCGAGGGGATAGCAAGGTGAAAGGAGAGGTTATGCTTGCGGTCTGGATGGGAACACAAGCTGATGAGGCTTTTCCAGAAGCCTGGCATACCGATGCTACTTCAGTTCAAGGAGAGGGTGTTTTCAATATCCGATCAAAGGTTTATGTCTCTCCAAAACTGTGGTACCTCAGAGTGAACGTGATTGAAGCTCAAGATGTAGAGCCACATGACCGAAGCCAATTACCACAGGCTTTTGTTAAGGCTCAAGTTGGAAACCAAATACTCAAAACCAAGCTATGTCCCCAGAAGACGATAAATCCCATGTGGAATGAAGATTTAATATTCGTAGCAGCTGAACCTTTCGAGGAGCAACTGTATCTAACAGTTGAAAATAAAGTGACCTCTGCAAAGGATGAAGTTATGGGGAGGTTAATCTCGCCCCTCCACATCTTTGAAAGGCGCTTGGATCATCGGCCAGTTCATTCAAAATGGTTCAACCTTGAAAAATTTGGATTTGGTGCTCTGGAGGGAGACAAGAGGCACGAACTCAAATTTTCAAGCAGGGTTCACCTTAGAGTATGTCTTGAAGGAGCTTACCATGTGCTGGATGAATCGACCATGTATATAAGTGACCAAAGGCCAACTTCCAGGCAGCTTTGGAAGAACCCAATTGGGATCCTGGAAGTGGGCATCTTAAGTGCTCAAGGTCTTCAACCGATGAAGACCAAAGACGGCTAAGGGAACCACGGATTCTTACTGTGTGGCTAAATATGGGCAGAAGTGGGTTCGCACGAGAACTATAATGGAAAGCTTCAATCCGAAATGGAATGAGCAATACACTTGGGAGGTCTATGACCCTTGCACAGTAATCACATTGGGAGTTTTTGACAACTGCCACTTGGGTGGAAGTGAAAAACCAGCTTCAGGTAGTGGAGGTAAAAATGATTCCAGAATAGGAAAGGTAAGAATTCGATTATCTACCCTGGAAACAGATAAGATTTATACAAACTCTTACCCTCTTCTTGTTCTACAAACATCTGGATTGAAGAAGATGGGGGAGCTTCAGTTAGCAGTTAGGTTCACGTGCCTCTCTCTGGCAAATATGATATACCTCTATTGGCATCCCTTGCTGCCAAAAATGCATTATTTGCATCCCTTCACTGTAAACCAGTTGGATAGCCTGAGATATCAGGCCATGAACATTGTTGCAGTGAGGCTTGGCCGAGCTGAGCCACCACTGAGAAAAGAGGTTGTGGAGTATATGTTGGATGTGGATTCCCACATGTGGAGCATGAGAAGAAGCAAAGCTAACTTCTTCAGAATTGTCTCTCTGTTTTCGGGCGTGATAGCTATGAGCAAGTGGCTTGGTGAGGTTTGCCACTGGAAGAATCCTGTCACTACTATCCTAGTACATGTACTGTTTTTCATATTGATCTGCTATCCAGAATTAATCCTGCCAACCATTTTCTTATACATGTTTCTTATTGGGATTTGGAATTACCGATTCCGACCAAGGCATCCTCCTCACATGGACACCAAGCTGTCATGGGCAGAAGTAGTTCACCCAGATGAACTGGATGAAGAGTTCGACACTTTCCCAACATCCAAGGCTCAAGATGTAGTGAGGATGAGATATGACAGGCTTAGAAGTGTGGCGGGAAGAATTCAGACAGTGGTAGGAGACATGGCAACTCAAGGGGAGAGATTTCTGGCTCTACTCAGCTGGAGAGACCCCAGAGCAACTAGCCTCTTCGTAATATTCTGCCTAATTGCTGCAGTGGCACTGTATGTGACACCATTCAAGATAATGGCTTTGGTTGCAGGATTATTCTGGCTACGCCATCCCAGGTTCCGGAGCAAGCTACCTTCAGTACCAAGCAATTTCTTCAGGAGATTGCCCTCTAGAGCTGATAGCATGCTCTGAAGAAATAGAAGTTAGCTTTACCACAATTCCGATTTTTATTCCCTTTTATCTTTCTTTCCTTGTCCTTCCAATAAAATAGGGGGCTTTGTTGTATTCCATTTCTTTATTTCAGCTTTCATCTATTTATCTACTTTATTTACAAATGATGTTTACTCCGGTAATTGAGAAACGGGATTTATATATATATTACTTTCAGTAATTCAGCAACGAGTACCAACTCAAAATTTTATTTTCAGTTGGCCAGCACAAACTTGTATAGAATAAACTAGATGCCTATTGCTACTTGATAACAAAAAGTATCCAATTCCATCATATATAAAATTTGACAACACTAGCACAAAACACAATCAAATAAGGAAAAACTGAAGTTCTTGTATAACAAAAGATAGTATCCCAAAATTTAGGTTTTCCCTTATGGCATCTGATAATACAACCACTGATACTCTAAACCAAAAGAATAACAAAGTAAAGCACATGATATAACAAAATGCAAAATTCCCTCTAGAAGACAAGCTCATGAGGTTTCATTCCAGACTTAAGAGAAAATCTTGCAGCCAGGTAGGCCTTCAAGTCTGGGACTACCTCAATGGACTTTATTAAAGAGGCATCAACTGATTTCTGGTCTTCTTTCTTGTCATCCGGCAGTTTCTTCTTATCCTACAATTTTTTATGGGAAGGTAAAAGAACAGACAATAAGCACATCAAATTAAATGAACCCCATTAGGACTGCTTAAATTACACTAAGTACCAGGGCAAACTAACCAACCTCTTTTTCAGCTTCAAAAAACTCTCCCTGGCCCTTCTTCTTTTTCTTCTCTACTTCCTTGGCAAAGTATTTGTCATCAAACTTCTCTACGTTAACACCTGAGATGTCAACCTTGGTGGAAGTAGCAATGACATAGGATTGGTTCACACGCCTTAAAGGAACACCATTAATCTTGAATGGTCCTGCAATGAAATAACATTTCCAAATTTTAGCAAAGCACTAGCATGAACCTACCCCCACTAATCCACTACTTTATGATAAAGACCCAATACGTAATGATAACCTAGCCCACTAATCCCGAAGAAGCAAATACAGATACAACATTCAGAAAACTATATGATACAAGTAAATCTCCAATCATGATTTCATGATAGCAGCAGTCTTTCTCCAGCACATTGAATAACAAATGGGTTTTGCTATGACAGCATCTAACCTATAAGCAGAAACATCACAAAAATCGTAATACAACTGTGTGCTTCTTCAAAAACAAGACAGAATTGATATTAATGAAGCAATATTGCTGCATGGAAAAATCAGAAAGAACGGTTTTAACACCGTTGTCATACATCCAATTCGTATTTGAATTAGACAAATCATCCTCTATTAGCTGCAATGCTTTAAATTTACAATTCACAGTTATTGATTTCATTTCATCAAAACAAACTCCAAGCAAACATTCAGCAAAAAGAAGAGAGTCAAGGGACAGCAGTAAAATGTGTAAAATACATGTTTTAAACAAACAAAATTACAACCATGAAATAAAAACATGAGAAAATAAGCCCAGCCGGCGCAAAAGAAGCCCAGAAGTAAGTTGCTTCAAGAAAACAACTCTCTTCCCCATAAACCTTCCAGCCAACAAAATCAACACCGTCCCAGGAGTAATGCTCGCTCTAAACAAATAAAAAAAATGAGCATCAAAAGCAAACCCAAAAAAAAGAACATATCTTCAGAGATCTACAAAGAAAAAAAAGAACAAATCAATTCAGAAAAGACCCTGAGCTTGGTGGGTTTAGGCTTGCGCTTATTAACAAGGGGCTTCTTAACATCATCAGCGGGGTAAAACTTGGATAGCTTCTCGGCGGCAGCGGGGGCCTTAGGCTTGGGTTCATGGCGGGGGAGGACACCGCCGTTTTTGGCCTTGATGGCCCAAAGGCCACGCTTGTGGTACATTTTAGACCGAGAATACTTTCCTACGCCACGAATCAGATCAGGGTTTCGGCTCTTTACGGGGGTCTTCCTTTTCGGCGCCATGTCCCCTCTAAACCCTTTACTCAGTTGCTACTGCAGCGGCGACGGCGGAGGGGTGTGGCTTTGAGGTAGGAAGGTTGATAAGAAAAAAACCCTAAACGCCTTATATCGCAAAATGAGGATTTCCTTTTCCTATGCGCCTTTTTTGGGTTGGGTTTCTTTTGTCCTATGGCCCGCTAATCTTATCAAAGAAAACCTAAAACCCACCAATGGGTATTGCAAACTAAAACAACTAAAATATTTTTAGGGGTCGCTGATCGTATAAGAAAAAAGAACCCTACATATATAACGCCGTCTGTGGGAATCGAACCCACGACCACATGGTTAAAAGCCATGCGCTCTACCGGCTGAGCTAAGACGGCTAACGCTGGATTTTAACTTATGTATGTACTATTTAATATTCAATTAAGAGAAGAGAAATTCAACCTTATTATTTAAATAGATAAAACATACATCAACCAATAATCGAAATATATAATATTCACTTGCAAAAACCAATACCATTAGCTAATATCATCAAGTACTCCGAGCTTGAGAGAGACCGGTGTATAGGATCAAACGGTAAGTTAAAATTGGGGCTGTAATGCTGAAATAGTTTTCAATTACTTACAATTACACCTGCCTTCTTAAATAAAAGCAAATGTCAAGTTTGAACCCATCAAAATAGAAAAAACAACACTTGGTTATATATATTATTTTTTAATTTATGAATTCATTTCATTCGAAAAAAAGTCTCCTTTTCAATAAACGAGATTATATACTCATAGATTTCAAAGTGAATTTAATAGCTTAGAATTGTCGCTACTGATATATACAAAAAATTAGGGTCCGGTAGTTGTCATCACCATTGAGACTTAGCTATATAATTACAAAAAATTCCTCCCGTGATCAAGGAAATCCGACTCTTAAAAATTTATATTCAAACAAATAATAGGTACAACATCTTCTTTTTTTTTTTCATGTAGTGATGCATGAATGATTAATTAAAGCTTTTGAACAATACGTAAGAAATAATATACATAATTCCTGTCTTAAAGACCTAACTGATACATATCTAATGTTACGAGCTCATTAAGTTGTATGTGGTTGTCACCATGGATGGAAGACACAACATCCTTTTGGTTGAAAAGACTTTCACACAGCAACATCCTCTTAGTTAGCCATGATCACTCTCTCGAACAGTAGGTATATCAAAGAGAATCAGATGATAAAATTGAGGCCATTTGCTCTAGAAAATTTTGGAGTTATCATTAGGTCAGCTACTTGGGATAATCACTCTTTTAGTTTTACATGTTTGCATGTTTTTGACTTTTAATATTTAATTTGTGTTTGTATTATTAAAATGTGACAATGTTAGATTTAGTCTTAATTTTCATATAAAAATAATTTTGAAATACTATATTTTTTCAAACCCGTGAGGTATTTTTATTAATTATTTTTTATCATATCTTCTATTTGACTAACGGTGTTAATTAAAAATGCAAACTACTTAATGAAAATAAAATTTAATATCTAATTGTGAGTTTTTAAAATTCAAATACTAAATTGATAATTTCGCTATAAGAAAGTATGTTAATAATTTTCAGGCACACTTCAAGCTTGGATTTAGTCTAATCTAGCACTCTTTAAAATTAAAGTAATTAGTATTTAAGTGTGTAGCTAGCTAGCTTCGAATGTTTCCAATTGTGGTATTCAAAAACTAAGAAAAAAAAAATGGCTCCGCTCAGTTGGAGAGACCCCAGACCGACCAGCCTCTTAGCAATATCCTGCCTAATTGCTGCAGTGGCACTGTATGTGAAACCATTCCCAGACCATAGCTTTGGTTGCAGGATTATTCTGGCTACGCCATCCTTCAGTACCAAGCAATTTCTTCAGGAGATTGCCCTCTCCAGCAGAAGAAATAGGAGTTAGTTTTACCACAATTTCGATTTTTATTCTCTTTTAAATTTCTTTCCTTGTCCGTCCGATAAATTAAGGGGCTTTGCTGTATTCCATTTCTTTATCTCGGCTTTCACCTATTTAAGGACTTTATCTATAAATGATGCTGCCTCTTACATATACGACCTTCCAGATTTATATACAGTTTATGAACCCTGAATTAACTCACATCCAGAAAACTGCAGAGCTCAAACACAAGGCAGTGTCATTAACAACTAGGAAAAGAAACCGTGATTCCTGCTTTGTGTATGTTTTTCAGATCTATGGAGAAACTCATTTTGATTGGAGGACCGTCAGGAGCACATATCTTCATACCAACTCAACATATTACTTCTTTTGGCCACCGCAACCTCCATATGATAAACTAGAAGCCTATTGCAACTCTGATAACAGGAAGTATCCAATTCCATAAAATTTAAAATTTGACAAGCTCCAATCAGACTACCACAAAACACAATCAAATAAGTAAAATTTTTAGTTCTAGCATAACAAAAGATAGTATCCCAAAATTTAGGTTTTTACCTCATAAAATCTGATAATACAACCACTGATACTCTAAAACCAAAAGAATAACAAAGTAAAAGCATATGACATAACAAAATGTAAAATTCCCTCTAGAAGACAAGCTCATGAGGTTTCATGCCAGACTTAAGAGAAAATCTTGCGGCGAGGTAGGCCTTCAAGTCTGGGACACACTCAATGGCCTTTATTAAAGAGGCATCAACTGCTTTCTGGTCTTCTTTCTTGTCATCAGGCAGTTTCTTCTTATCCTACAATTTTTTTAAGGGAAAGTATAAGAATAGACAATAAGCACATCTAATTAAATAAACCCAATTAGGACTGCTTAAATTATACTAAATAGCGTGACAAACTAACTAACCTCTTTTTCAGCTTCAAAAAACTCTCCCTCACCCTTCTTCTTCTTCTTCTCTGCTTCCTTGGCAAAGTATTTGTCATCAAACTTCTCCACGTTAACTCCTGAGATGTCAACCTTGGTGGAAGTAGCAATGACATAGGATTGGTTCACACGCCTTAAAGGAACACCATTAATCTTGAATGGTCCTGCAAAGAAATAAAAATTCCAAATTTTAGAAAGCACTAGCATGAACGATGAAAGATATTCAAAAGAGAAAAGAAAAACTAGTCCCCTAATCCATTAGTTTATGATGAACAGCCAACACATAATGATAACTAGCCCGCTAATCCACAAGAAGCAAATGTATATACTACATCCAGAAACATATACGACACAAGTTAATCCCAAATCATGATTTCATGATAGCAGAAGTCATTCGCCGGCATACTGAACAACAAATGAGTTGCTCTATGCAAACATCTAACCTACAAGCAGAAGCAGCACGAACATTGAAATACCACCTTGTGCTTCTTCGGAAGCAAGATAGAATTAATTTAAGTGGTAAATACTTCATTGACATTAAAGAAGCAATACAGTGGCATGGAAAAATCAGTAAGAACAATTTTAACACCGTTGTCATACATCCAGTTCGTATTTGAATTAGACAAACCATCCTTTGTTAGTTAACTATTAGCTGCAATGCTTTAAATTTACAATTCACAGTTATTAATTTCATTTCATCAACAAAAATTCCAAGCAAACATTCCGCAAAAAGAAGAGTCAGTAACGCATAAGGGACAGCAGTAAAATATGTAAAATACATGTTTTTAAACAAACAAAATTACCACTATGAAATAAAAAGATGCGAAAAAAAGCTCACCGGTAACCAAAAGAAGCCCAGAAGTAAGTTGCTTCAAGAAAACAACTCTCTTCCCCATAAACCTTCCAGCCAACAAAATCAACACCGTCCCAGGAGTAATGCTCGCTCTAAACAAATAAAAAAAATGAACATGAAAAGCAAACCCCAATAAAGAAACATATCTTCAGAGATCTACAAACAAACAAGAGGACGAATCAATCCAGAAAAGAACCTGAGCTTAGTGGGTTTAGGCTTGCGCTTATTAACAAGGGGCTTCTTAACATCATCAGCGGGGTAAAACTTGGGTAGCTTCTCGGCAGCAGCGGGGGCCTTAGGCTTGGGGTCATGGCGGGGGAGTACGCCACCGTTTTTGGCTTTAATGGCCCAAATGCCACGCTTGTGGTACATTTTAGAACGGGAATACTTCCCTACGCCACGAATCAGATCTGGATTTCGGGTCTTGACTGGGGTCTTCCTCTTCGGCGCCATTTCCTCTCTATTTCCTGCTGTTGCTCCGTGTGGCTTTGAGGTAGAGAAGACGATAACGCAAAACCCTAAACTCTTTATATTGCAAAATGAGGGTTTCGTTCTTTCCTCTAGGCCTTTTTTGGATCGGGCAACAAAGTTTGCTATGTTTTGAGTCCACTTTCGGCCCAAGTTAAACTCACCGGAGTCCTGTCCATAATCTAAATGTTTTGGACTTAGGAATGGGGCCGTGAAAATATTTTGAGTATGAACTTCATTCGAATTTTTTGTGATTTTAACTTTTTTTTTTCTCTTTTCCCTTTTTCTTTTGTTCATTTCAACGTATTATCTATAAGCTAAATAGTAATAGAATATTTTTAAAAAACAATAAGATTTAAAATGGTGAAACACTCAAACGAAAATAAAAAATTCTTGCAGCACAAACACGTTGATTGAAAGCGCAAAAAAATAAAGAGCTTTCGAGGACAAAAATGCACAAACAACATGTCCAAAACTATTAAGCTTGTTTGGTTCGCTAAATGAAGTAAAGAAAATAAAATGACTATTTTATTGAAATAGAATAAAGTAGGAATATTTATTATCTAATTTGATTTACGGAATGAAATAGGGTAAGAATTGATATTATAACTTGCTCCAATTTTTAGTAGATAAAAATAATTTTAGAATAGCAAAAGAATAGGTGATAAAAAGATAAAGCACCTTTTATTATAATATATTATTTTTAATTTAAAATATTTTTTATAATTTATTAAAAATATGAATAAATTTAAAACTTAAATATGACTGTTTATTTTATTTTTTAAAACATTAATAATTGAAGTTTAATGAAAATATTAATAATTTATAAAAATTAATACATTAATATGGTTATTTTATTCTTTATTTTTATTTTTAAAATATTAAATATTAATAATTTATAACTTAACTTTAAATTTTAAATGTTAATTTTTATTAAAATTTTATTTTTTTTAGTTTTTTCATATTAACATTTTCATTTTTGACTGCTTAAAAAAAAAAACTTATGTCAAGTTCGAACCCATCGAAATAGAATAAACAACTTAAGCATTAAAGAGAATCAGAGGCTAATGAATTATGATTTTTGGCAGAGGCGGAGGGAGGGGCGCCATTTCCCTATTTTTGTTTTTTTTTTTATAAATTTTTTAGAAGTTTATCATTCATCAAATTGGAAAAAAATATTAAAATAAATCAAACAATTATCACTCATGAAATTAGAAAAACTCTTTATCAAATTGGAAAAACCTTTTTTTCTTTTTTTATGAATCAATCAAATTAAGGAAAAAAAACTTTTCTCTTTTTTTCTTTTTTTTTTTGTGAATCAATCAAAATTTTTTTTTTTTATTTTCCAAATCAAATAACCATGACATATCTTTACTAGAATATTTTGCATTATTGTATATAATCTGTTATGATCTTAGGTAAAAAATATATCACTTAATAGCGTACAATACTTAATGTGAACATTTTATATTAATTTTTGTCTACTTTATATTTATTTATATTAATGAATCTAAAAATTTATATTTAAATTGTTAAGAAAGTTTTATATTATAATTTAATTTTATTTCAAAAGTGATTAATTTTTACTCCGAATCGAATTTTGTATGATTATCCTTTATACTGCTCATGCAAAATTTTGGATCCACCATTAAATGGAATACATTTTTGTGACACATATGATAATTGGACCATGGATTGAATTGACTCATTTTGCTCTACATATTTTTGGAACTATCCTTAGGTAAGCTAGTTGGGATAATCACTCTCTTAGTTTTACATGTTTGCGTATTTTTTATTTTTAATATTTAATTCATGTTGCTGTTATTGAAGTGTGACAATGTTAGACTTAATCACAATTTTTAAATAAAAATAATTTTCAAATATTTATGTGGATATAAGGATACATTTTTCAGACACGTCATACCTTTTTATTAATTGTTTTTTATCACATCTTCTACTTGTTTAATTGTATTAATTTAAAATGCTTTATCGAAATAAATTTTAATACTTAATTGTAAATTTTTAAAATTTAGATACTAAGAGCCTGTTTAGCCTAATTTTTTTAACTTAAAAGTTATTAAAAATCTCTTATGAAAATAATAGCTTATAAAAGTAACTTAAAGCTATTTGGTAAGCTATTTAGTAAAATAAATTATATAAGTTTTAATTTTAGTTAAAATTATCATAAAGAGTATTGATGTCATCTTCAATCACATAATCAATCAAAACAGAACAAGTTTGCTTCGATACGATTTTAGATGTTAAAATCAAAAAATTCATACAGACCACGAAAAGAGAAAATCTTTAAATAATACCTAAATGTAGCTTTGAATTTGGATTTTTTTTCTCAATTTTTATAAAAACAAAATAATCCCAAATTTTTCTATTTTGTTACAGAATCTTTAGTTTTTTTTTTAGTAATTTTTGTTGAGAGAGAAATTACGATTTACATTGGAAAAAAATGATTTGTAAAGGAACAGAGAGGAGAGGGAGATCGATTGAAAGAAAGAGGCACTTTTTGAAAAGTTGACATGTTTATAAAAGAAGAGAAGAGAAAAGCTTCTTTTTAGAGCTTTTTTTAAACTTTTTTTTTAATTTTGTTTTTTAAAAAAATTGTTCTTATATTTTAAGAATTTTTCAAAATCTTTTTTGACCTCGTTTTTACTTTTAAAAAATAAATAAATTGAAAAAAAAAACCAAACAAACACTAATTAAATAGACAATTTCGCTATAAAAAAAGTATGTTTCAGGTAGACATCAAGCTCGTATTTTCGAAATTGTGTTTTTCAAAAACTAAGAAAAAAGGATGGCTTCATCTCTTCCTTATTGACTTGCAAGCTTAGCGAGTAGAGTGGTAAAGACTTGTTACTCTTCTTTTGTTCTTTTAGTTGGACAAAACCTATAAACATGCAAAACTTCCAACTTCAAGTATCATTTGACTACGAGGTTGGGACTTGGGAGCGGGATTTATGAAAGACAATAAATATTTTTGGCAAATTACTCTTAAACCCCTCCATCCCCCAAAGGGCAAAAACCAACAAAGTCCAAAATGAAATTAAGTTTGTTAGCCTCGTCTTTGGTTTTATGACCCCAAAAGCAAGCATGCATGTAACAACACCTACGCCAAATGGACGTTTATGTTTCTAACACTAGGCACCGACTGGTTTTTGTCTTTCTTTCATAGCCAGAAAAATACACCCCATAAAAAAAGACATGGAAAGAATCAAACCTTCTTCTCTATTCTCAATGCCTTTTCCTCTTAACCAGTTAAGCCCTCTCTATCTCTCTCTAATCAGTCAGAAATGGCTGCGAAATCATTGATGTTTTCTCTTTTTCTTGGATTTCTTTGTGCAAAGAAGAAAAATAATGGGTATAATGAGAGAAACTTCTACTGCTTTAATTTAAATTTTAATCTATTCTTAGTCTATCTATACATCTCTCAGTAGAAAGGGGAAATATGAAAGAAGCCAATAATAATTAAGAGAAAAGAGCTAAAAGGAAATGAAAGCGGCTATGGCCTAGCTAGGGGTCCTATTGTTCTTGCCGAGGGCGAGCCAACCAGAGAGAGCTGAGAGCTCTTAGGCGATGGAAGTACTCAGCAATCGCCAGCAAACACCTTGCAGCTTGACGGGTCGTCAGGATTTGATGCAGCCGGTGTATGGTTTGGTGCCTCAGATTATCAGCCTGTAAGGTTTTTTATTTTTTTATTTTTTTTTACATTTTTTGAAAGCAAAATATTGAAATTAAAATATTTACTAAATTAAGGAAACGTAGAAAAAAGTATAGCAATACATTTGTAATTTAATAGCATAATAATCATTAAAATAATATATGTGCGTTAATTAGATAGTAACATCAAGACTAGAGATGCATTTAAACTTGACTTTGAGAGTAGAACTAAGGATAAATTTGGTTTCTTAAATTTTACACGGGCTATCCACCCGTGACTTTGTGGCACTGGGTGTTTTGATTGTCAAATGGGAAAAGGAATAAAGGGGAAGTTGAAAACGAAATAAGGATACTTTTCATTTCATTTTCTTGGTTCAAATTACTTGTGGGGTATGGCTCTAATTACTTACCCTTCTCTAGAAGGGTTTGACAGAGATATAAAAAGATATATGATCATATTTGAAATCTTCACTTACAACAATATATCCTTCTAAGAAACTTAATGATGAAGATTTACTTAGGGAAACCTGAATATTAATTAATTAATCAGGGGAGAGCCATAAGTCAGCTTAGGCATATAAAAAAGTGGTCAACCTGCCATTCGATGAACATTGTCCTATTGGGTGAGTGTTGGCTAATCAGAATGATGGTTCCCATGACTTGCCTCTGATTTGATTGGTAAGCATCTTGATTGGAATTTCACTGAACAATTCTACTGACCAAAACGTCAAGATAATTGAAACCCTGCTGGTTGGTTTTTCCTAGTGTGGGATCATTAATTTCAAAAGGCTAACCGCTTCATTCCAAACATTAGGCCCCACAGCCTAGCCTAAATCCTCAAAGTTTGAACTAGATATAACTCTATTTTCCACAATTACCAAGTTAATTCTCTTTAGGGACCGCTGGTATGAAAGATCATTAATCAAGGTCAAGTAAAGCTTAATCGTATTGTAAGGGTAAAATTATATATATATATATATATATATATATATATACCGTAGCTCTTGAAAACTAAAATTTTTACAGTAATGTTTGTCGAATTTCATCTCACTCTTAAATGTTTAATTTCCTGAATGTGAATAACGAAACTAACAAACTGTTATCATCTAACACTAAACTCAGTGTAAGCAGTATGAAGTAACGAGGGATGATGGATGTGGCTGTCCATGTACCGCCGTGGGCACGTAAGGGGCCGGGGGAGACTTAGCCTAAGTTAGAGAATGGTCAAAAAAGGAAGTTAGAGGGGATGGTCTTTAAAGATGTCTTTAAGTCAAACGGTTACGACCATGACATCACAAACATATGGGCATGAAGATGGATCTCTTTGGACGTCGGTATATGCATTATTAAAGGGGGCCCATTCCGCATGTGAAAATGCGATCTTCATGTTCTTGGCTTGCTATCGTTCGTATTATTTTCCCTGGGTGACAACTTCAGTAATTCCTAGCTACTGATTAGGTCTTATCTTAATAGGCAGCGGGAAATCGACACAACGTCAAACCCGCCTGCCTGCTCTTGCTTCAGGCACAGATAATTGTTTGACAGAGAGATCTGGTTATTGTTTTATAGCAACAAGTCTACTTCACGCAATTAAGAACTCTAGAAGAAATAAACAGAACTTGGATGTTCTTCTACATGTGTTCAAGTCTTGAATGCTATAGCTGGATATTACTCTATTGCAGGCATTCAATTTAGTAGCAAAATTAAGTTTCTGATGTAATTTACCCCTAGCAATTTTCTTTTCCTCTGATTGATAACCATGTTCTTTTGGGGAATATTACCCTAAATCAGACAAAGTGACGGTGGTCTTTTTAGATGATCCTCGGATGGCATGGGCTACATGTTAATTTACTGGAAACCTAGGAGACTACTACATGAAATGTCACTTTCAGAGAAACCCAAGCGTTATATGGTACGTCAGATATATGCTTTGTAGATATACTATGTTAATTAATGTAAACACGAAGCCACCTCCTGAGCATGAGAAGGCATAGATATGGAGTAGTTTCGTGGAAAACATGATTTTTTGGGGTTAGGTTTCCCAACCTAGACAGAAAACCAGATTCTTTTCCCACACACACGTATGACCCCACATTGTTGATGATGAATTGGGTCATCATCGTTCATGGGGCGGGGGGGTCCACAAACACATGAAATAATGATAGTATAAGAGACTTAGTGCATGTAAATCAAGACATACCTGTCTAACAAAACCTTCGAGGGTGGCGAGCTTGTTCATGGCGATAGCCATTTGGCCCATGTAGTTAGTCATATTAGGAGGGCAGCTCAGTGAATCAGAAGTTATAATATCAGAAAGGGACTGATTCAGAGCTTCCAAGCCTTGTGATAGAGCTTCTTCAGCTTCCTGTGTCGATTGTTGCAAAGCACATATTCCCATTATCTGCTGCTCCGTCAATGGCTCAATCTGATTCACTATAACCTGGAAAAAGAAACAAAACAATTGAATTAAAATCGTACCCAGAATCAAAACGTTATCCATAATGCGGACAAATGCTGAATATTCATCAAAAACTGATAATACATCATTCTTCGTTTTTCCTTATTGTAAAACTGCATGCAGCTTTGCCATTTTGCTTATTTATTTACTACAAACCAAAGAGAAGAGATGAATATGAAAACAAGATCCTTGATTTCCATGAAAGAGAAGGACAGAAAGAGAAGGCAAATCATAGAGTCGAGATCCGTGCAGTTCTCTCTTTTGTACTGCCACAAATTTTGTAGTAACAGACATGACTTTATCAGAAAGACAACTAATCAAATCCTTTTAGAGTAAAACCCTTCCCGGTTACCTTTCGTCATTCATTGATGTTTAATTTGTTATATCCCCATATTTCCTTGCCACAAACAAATTGCACCATGCAATTAAAACATACTATTTCCTCGTGCCTTATCTCAATATGTCCTCGTACTTCCATAAAAATCTTTAGTATCTTCTTTCACTGATAATACACAATTATTCTTCACAAGTTCTATGTCAAGTAAAATATATATTACGAACGGCTTGATACTATCCAAGGTTATCTTTATCAAGGAAAAATAAAGTAAAATATAGAGCTAATTAAGGGAATCTAATTAGTAGAATAACTCTTTTTTTTTTTCATAAGCTAGTAGAATGACTCTTTCATTATTGACTACAGTTAAACCTATAGAATTGATTAGTTCTTTAGTCTTTTTTGACATAATTTAGATTAAGTGGATTTTGATGATTAATTTCCCTTTAGAGACTTTGTATTTGAAGTTTTGAATTATTGGAAGGATAGGGTTTAAAGCACCTTGATGAGCTCAGAGGGCCGAAATCCACCCATCCACATGAAGCATCGTTCGGCTGGAGTCTTCCACATGCCAGACACAAGATGAAAGACATCTGTTTTGGCTACCATGCTTTTTAGGTTCATCAACTCGTCGAATTGTGCTAAACAGTTGTCGACGAAGATCCGAAGCTCGTTCTCCTGTAGATGCTCTTGAACCGCGGCTCGAAGCTCGCACATGAGGCGATGGTGCTCTTCTAGCCATCTTGCGTACTCGATGTCAAACACAGTGGCGTCTGAAACATAAATATTTAGTTGATATAGCCATGAAAATAAAAAAAAGAAAACATTGAAAGATGTGAAAGATATACAATTAAACAAACCTGAGCTTGTGTTGTTAATACCAACAGGAAGGCCTTGCTCTCCTCCTAGAACACCACCACCAAAAAACATGCCCTAAACAATAAAACGCAATCTTGAATGTACAGATACTCAAATATACACAGATAAACGATATAAAAAAGTTTAAGGGAAACGTCTCACTTGAGCTCTGGCTCTTTGAAGTTCTTGTTCCAGTTGTGTTAGCCTAATCCTACTTGACTCTAACTGCTGAACATAAGCCTGTGATGAAACAAGAAAAAATAAATGAACCCCAGAAACAATACTTAATTTGTTTTATTAATCTTGTTTAAATGAAACAAAAATGATAGTTGTAGCAAACAAATTAGTACAAGTAATTAATTTTTTTACGGACTTGACCTTTTTTCTTAGCCTGCTTTTCCTTGCTGCTTCTCTATTCTGAGCAAGTCTTCTCAAAGTCTGCTTGGAAATGATCATAACAAAATTACATATATTCAACATTTCTTACAGAAAAAAGGGGTAGTAGAAAGAAAAAAAAACTAAGAGTAAATGTTTATAAACAAAGAATGCACCTTAGGGTCTGGTGTTTTGGGTCCTTCCTGCTCTGAACTTGATGTTGGCCCTTTCCGGTTCCCCTCACGCTGCCAAATTAAAACATGCATTGATACAAGATTCCAATCTTTAGAAAAACGAAAATCAAAGGTGGGAATCTCAGTTTTTTCAATATTATAATGCATCATATATCTGTTTTCTGATATAAAATATATCTTTTTATAATTCAAAACCTATCGTACCTTGACAGCTTTAGCTGGTTGATCTGGTGCAGAACCTGAAGCATCATTTCTGGCGTTGGCCAACTCCATGGACGGCTCTGATGGTCTCTTTGAACCACTAGTTGCTGGAGAAACCAATCCTCTACTTGTCTACCAAATACAAAACAAACCCCCTTAGAAAATTATTTAAATAATACTAGTACTGACATAAACTCTAGATCAATATAAATAATAAGTTTTACCTTTGTGGCTAATGGTGGCTCAACGTGCATAGGTTGTGAAGGGAAAATGTTTAGAGTCGGAGGCCTCATTCCAGAATTATCTGCACACATAAATTCTCACAGGCATTTAACTCAAAATTCTCTTACAGGAAAATTTCGAGTCCATTCAAAGAGATAGAAAGGGAGCAAGGGGGTTAGACTGATTAAACCAGGACCCAAAAGGAAGGGAAGAGAGACAAAGGCAAGAGAAGTATGATCAATCAAAGAAAACATAGCGATGGTCATGCATTTGTAGCTTTGTTCAATCAAATCAGAAAAATAAAATGAAATGATGAGGAAAAAAAAAGGAAAAGCCAAAGATAACCCATACCCTATACGTACACTTTCCAGTACATATAGAAAATTTTTGTTAGTAATTCATGACCATAGAGTTGTTTGTTACACGACATGGTCCGGAGTTACTCATAACTCATTAAAAAAAAAAAGTAAAAAGTTGAAAAAAAAAAAGAAATCTTTTTTTCTTGAAAATTTCAGTTCTTATTTTAGTTTCTTTCAGAGATTTTTTTCTGCAAGGATCTGGTCAAAGAAAGTACTGGCAGATTAAATCTGTTGAAGACATGAACATGCCTTTCCTGTGAACAAAACTAGCCTGTCCCGAAAGAATCTTGTTAACAGAAGTCAGAAGCTCCAGAAAGTGAAAAGAGAAGGAGAAGAAAAACCCCTAATCGTCTTCGAAGTAAATAGTGGAAAAAAAAAAAGAACAAGAAAACTTGAGAGAGAGAGAAAGCGAGAGAGAGGGAGAGAGAGAGAGAAAACACTCACGTCTTTGCTCTTGAATAGTGGAAGGGTCTTGTCCATCAAGATAGAGAAAAAGGGCTTGATCTAATTCACCCAAATCATAAGCTCCAGTATCTTTGCTTCTGCTTACCCCAAAAATCAAACAGAAACAAAATTTCAAAGCATTTACAGCATGAAGAAAAAGGAAAAGAAAACTTTTGGGTTGTAAGAACTAAATAACTAGGGGCAAAAAGAAAATTAGAAAAAAGGTTAGTTCTGGGTTTAGCTTTGTAGTTTTGTACTCTAAAAGGAAAAACAAAAGAATTACATGAAGTTTCCAGGGATGGAAGATGATGATGATGATTGCATCATTGCATAAGGAATCTGATTTTGATGATGTTGATGATGCTCTTGTATTTGATGCTGATGCTGTTGTTGTTGCTGCTGCTGCTGATTTTGATGATGATGATGATGATTTTGATGATGTTGATTATGTTGGTGGTGGTCTAGTTGGATGGAGTTGTTCATGTTTCCTCTACTGGTAGCCATGAAAACAACAACCCCAACCAAGCTAGCTAAGCTAGTTCTTCTTCCTCCTCCCCCTCCTCTTCTTCTTCTACTTGAAGAGCTCTCGAATTCAGCATTAATGGCAAAACCACCTTCCTTTTATTGCTTTGCAAATCATTTTTTCCACCTCCATCATCTAAATAGTCGTGAAAAAGAAAGAAAGAGAGAGAAGTAAAGAGTCGGTTATAATTTGAAAGAAGGAAGAGGTATTTTTGATGGTAGAATGAGAGAGTCAGAGGGGAAGAAAAGAAAAAATAAAAAGAAGAATGGAATTGAATGCACAAAAACAAAAGACAAAACCCTTTTTATCTCTCTCTATATAAATAACTTATATGACTTTCTTTTGCTTTTGCTCCCTCAGCCAAAATTTTCAGATAAAGCGGTCTTAGTATGTCCTTTTCAATACTCCCAATTTAAAAAAAAAAAGAAAAGAAATATCTCATAGAAAAACCAGAGAAGACCTGGGGACAAAAACAAAACCAATTTTAATTTTATTTTATTTAAACCACTTTTTGATGGGAAACCGCTTAAGACTTCCTTGATGGAGTTTCCTATTGATTTATTTTGGAATGACGATAATGCCGTTATGGTTTTCCATAATTACTATTGACATTTTCATGCAAACTTACACGTAGATGTTGTGGTGGCGGCTCTCGTTCAAACGACAACTACCGCTCAGATTCTTTTTAGCCCTATTTTCACATATTAGATTACCTTTTTTCTCCTCCTTCATAATCTTTTTCCTCTTATAAAGATAAAATTGATGTCCATCTCTTAAACTTCTATTGAGGTTTAAATTGATTAATTTCTTTCGAGACTAATTAATGATCATTTTAATCGTTCAAAAATAGGAAAGAAATACATCTTTATATATATAATTTGTAATAATATAAGACTATTGTTGCTTATCTTATCATTTTATTTTTTACATAACTTTAAGGTAGGTTTACTAATTATATATTTTTTTTATATAATTGGGAGATGGAGGATTCTAACGCTATTCTTTATGCAGAGAGATTATGTACTAACCAATGAGTTAACAGGTGAATCAATTCATTACAAGGTAAGATGATTAAAATTAAATCAATAAATTATTAACACGTCAAGTGAAATACATATAATTAAGACAAGCAATAGAACAAAGAGTAATTTTTTCATAATACAATTAATAGTTTGTAAGACTATATATCTTTTACTGCCCAAAGTCTTTTCTTATTTTCAATAAATTTTATTACCTCCAATAGCTTGGGTTGTCGAAGTGGGATTAATTTTTTAATAGACACTTTAATGATTTATAAGGACAAACACTACTGCTTAAAGCTTTGAAATATTGATGGCATCTCCTAAACTTGAAACATTAATTGATTGAATGATTTGATCCAAAGTCAATGCTCTATCCGGACCAGGAAAAATAAATGTAATATGTAAAAGAGACAGAAACTTGTAGCCTTGTTCAATTAGTTGTATATAGTTTTAATATTTTATGTGAATAAGAAAATAATTAATGAATAGCAAGTGGAAAACTATTTAATCAATTCAACCTGAACATAGATTTGAAGACATAAGGTAAGTTTCCAACATGTTGAAAGCTAAATATTGAATCTTGAAGTACAGGTGGATTTTTTATTCTGTGGAGTCCTTTTAATCAATTAGTAATTATGCAATGTACGAAAACAACTTCTTTTTTCTTTTGCAAGCTTTGCCAACTGAGTCAATCTCAAGACTTTGGGTAATAAGCATTTATGAATATGTGGAGACCAACAATTTCTCACCCTATATTCCTCGTCAATATTATAACTTTAAATCATGTTAAATTTCAAGACTGAGACACTCTACCATAGGGGTCAAGTTCCTACAACTTTAATATCCGATAAATTCCTAGCATTCATTTAATTGGTAAGTTCAAGTTGTAGAAAGTTCTACGAGAAATAAATAAAAAAAATGGAATGAAAGTAAAAGGTTAATTCAATACTAACCCAATACTTGGGGTTCATTTTTTTTTTAAGGAGTACTTAGGGTTCATTTAATCTCCACTCAAATGTTTTTGGATTTATACCGCCGTAACTCATCTTTAACACTGATCTTCATTTCATTATTCACGTGGCTTGTGACAATAAAATATCCTGATATGAAACGTGTTTTATCTATATATCCCAATTTTATTTTAAAAAGTGAAGTTAATTGGCCCGTTTATACATGAAACATTATTTTATATTATTATGTAACTTAAAATCACATGTATATATAACTATAATATACATTATATGTAAAGATAATAATAATAATGGAATGGTAAGCAGAAAAATCTGGAAAGGGCAAACAATTCTCGGGATTCGACAAGCGTTACAGAATCCTGTAGGGGTGGAATTGTCAAAAATAAATAAATCAAAAAAGTGGATAAAATTACAAGGGACGAGTAATTAAGCCAGCTGTCAACCAGAGGACAGAGGTAGCACTGTTGACTATAGAACACGTGTCAGAGTAGAGTTCCCATTTGATATTTGGAATTTGGAGGCGTTGGGAAGTGGGGCCCACAGCATCAAGCAAAGCTCTAAACAATCGAACGGCTAATCCCAGTTTTTGTGGGTCCCAGCAAGACCGGTCCCCACCTTTTCCGCGATTTTTCTATTCCTTCGTTTTCAACCACTCCGCCATGTTTTCGCCTTTTTGTTTTTTTGTTAGTAAAATACTCTCCCACTCCTCCATTATATAAAATGGCAAAAAACAAAATAACAAGAAGAAATTAATGTCAATAATATCTTCGGTTGAGGAAATTGTGATGAATAAATTTTTTAATAAAAATATTTTAAAAATAATTATTAAAATAAATTTAATTATTTTTAATTATATTTAATTATAATTTAATAAAAATATTTTTAAAATTATTTTAAACAAATTAAACCATTCATCATAATTTCATTTTAATATATACTTTTGATTTCTTTCTCTTACTATCTAACTCTATCTAATTTTATCAATTTATTTCTTCAACATTCATCTGCTATGCTTTCAATTTTTTTTTTTTTACACTTTCAAGACTCCAAGTGATGATTTTGATGTACTTAAGGTGTGTGGTTATTTTGAGCATTTGATTTTTAAATATTTGGGATGAAACTAAAATGGTAGAAATGATTTAAAATAGTTTTTATGTAAATCAATTTGAAATTTAAATATCAATAAATTCAAGAATTTGAAGTTTATAAATTTAATTTTTTTTAATTTTTAGTTGAAATAGGTATTTTAGATAAGAAAATCTGTATTTTGATTTATGAACACATGTTTGAAACACTTTAATCAGTGTCAAATTGTTAAAAAAGAAAAACAAAAAGAAATGAAGAGAGTTGAGAGGATTTGAAGTTTTGGTTTATAAGTAATAATAACATTTTAGGTATTAAAGTGTAAAATTTTTTTTTTGAATATGACATGTAATGATAACATTTTTTTAACATGAAGTATAATAACAATATTTTTTTCAACATGACATGTAATATATTTTTGTACATAACTTGTAACAACAAGATTTTTTTTCAACATTACGTGTAATAACTTTTTTTAACTATGACGTGTAACATGTTTTTGTACATGACATATACCAATAATAATTTTTTTTTTAACACGGCGTATAACAATATTTTTTAACCATGTCATATAACATATTTTTGTACATAACGAGCAACAATAATTTTTTTTTTCATATGGTGTGTAATAAATTTTTTTAACCATGAACTGTAACATATTTTTGTATATGACGTATAATAATAATATTTTCTTTTAATATGACGTGTAATAACCTTTTTAATCATGACGTGTAATAATAAATTTTTTTTTTAAACATAGCGTGTAACAACTTTTTTTAACCATAACGTACAACATATTTTTGTATATGGTGTGTAACAATAATATTTTTTTCAATATTGCGTGTAACAATCTTTTTTAACCAATACATGTAACATATTTTTGTACATGAAGTTGTAGCAATAACATCTTTTCAATATGATGTGTAACATCAATAAGAATAATTTTGTTCAACTTAACTAAAAAAGTTAAAATTATCAAAACAACTTAACATCATTAAGGATATAGAGGCCAATTTTCTGATGTTGGAAGCCATGCGTGACAGAGAAGGAAATAAAACTGATTAAGACAAGGCAACATGACGGTTGATTGGGTAGCAACTAAAGTTTTTAAGTTTTTCAACAAGTTTGAAGTTGAAAGTTAATATAGTAAAATTTGGCATGCATGTTTTGAAAGCAAAGTCTGGCCAATCCACGTGTGAACTCCATATGTCACGAGAGGTTGGTAGCAATTGCACGGACAAGGATGGAGCTAAGATTTTCGCGTTGATCCAAAAGTCTTATAGGAATTTAAGAGTTTGAATAAACGTTCTCTAATGCTAAATAAAGAAAAACATGAGTTATATTCAACTAATTTGCTACCGCTTTGTACTTTTCATTGAGCAAAGAATGTTAGGCAAGAGCTTCAAATACTCCAACAAGCTAATTTGGTCACATTTAAAATGACTCCTGCATTGTAAAATGGTCCTATGTATAGCTAATACATGTATATAGCTATAGATTATAAAACCACAATATAATTGATGAAAACTCAAGATATATAGCTTGTCGTCTCTTTATATATGTTATCATTCAAATGGAAAGGCGTCCACCCAGACCCATGGGATATAAATAAATAGTTAATTTCCTGAAGGTGAAAAATCATCTCTCATTTGATAGATGAGATCATAGGCTCAATCGTATTGGACTGGTGAGAAAGATGTTTCTACGTAAATATAGTTAGCATCTTCTCGCACAGTGTGAGGTTTTTCCAAAAATCAAGCTTGTTAATTCACCCACCACATGCTTAAAGGGTCGTGTACTCTCTTTCTCTCTCTCAACAAACAAAAAAAAATAACATTAGGATATTGAAGAATTTGAACCCCAAAGGTCCAAGTTAGAATTGTATCTCAAATTCTAAGGACGCGG